TATATATATATATATATATCATTCCAAACTGTTGATTGTTGAATGAGCAGCATGTATTGATGCCAGCTGAATTTAATATATAATATATAACTACTGTGGCCATAACCGTGGTCAACTCGTGATAATCTGTACGCTACTGTTGTTATTATAGTGTTTGTGATATTGATGGCTACTGGACTACATACTCTTGCAAGTGATTTTTTCTAAGAAGTTGCGTGAGAGTCCGGTCGGACGGTTGATAGGCTGGTTGTAAAGGTTACATGGTATTCATCAATGAAAAAAGGATATTTTATATGCTTGCGCGCTGTTTGCTTGACGCTCAGGTCAAGAACACAGTTTTTTTTGCAGAAATTTGACGTCTGGATCTTACTTCAGAGACAAAAGTTTTCATTACCGAAACTCTAAGAGTCAACATTGCTTTACATAAGGAGTGATTCTTTTAGGTAACGGCCACTATATACTATTCCTTCCTACTCTAACAATTGTCAAACTTCAGTTTACTACAAGCCCTGTGAGCGCACTGCGATGTAATACCATAGATACAATCGTGGATGCTTGGTGAACAACATCTGGGTAAATAAACAGATTACTTAGTCGTTTTGTAGGGTCACTGAATAATAAAGTTAATCTCTTACCCTTTCTTCACTGCTTTAAAGTAAATATCGGAAATCATTAAAATTTAGATTGTAAAACAACCTTTTAAATTAAAACAAATATAGTCACGAGTGAAAAATGGGAGGCGAGAGATATATCAGACAATTCTTTTATTAATGCTTACGATTATACTGAATGCTAGCACCCTCTATCACTCATTGCGAACGCCTGGCCTTTATATTTAAAATACAAATAGAACCATGTTGATCTCTGCATCTGATACTCACAGAGAAGCTATCATGCGTCCTTTGTTGTTTGAGATCACGTGTCGTCGTACATCCGTTAGAGTATCTGTGCAAATATTAATCATTAAAGAATTAGTTCCAACCAGGGCTGCATCATTCGAATTTTTAATTTTTTATACATTCGTAGCGTATTTGACTAGTTTTTACAGATCAGTTTGTGTTGTATTCAAATGTCTGATGATCTAGCTAACAGTCCGAATAGTGTTTATTGTTAATAATTTTGCTGTAAAGAGTTTTGGGAAATCCGATTATGAGCATTCGGGTACACTTGCAATGACTGGTAATAAGGAGCAATTATTAATCGAAAATTGAAGATATTCGTCAATGATTTATTAGTGATTGTCTTACGGAAACTTCCGTTGACAATAAACGATTTCCATGAAGTCCAATGGCGTCGAGATGACTCGTTACGTTATCTCGAATAAATAGAATAAGTTGATTCGCGCTCTGAGAAACTTGCTATCGCTTTCAGGCACTATGGACGTGGTGCACGAAGTTCCACCAGATCTGCGCCACCTCGTTCGACTTGTGGCAAGAAGCATTTTCTCACCAGAACTAGCCATGGTAGTTGATGCTCTCATAAAGCATCAATGTGTACGCGAGGAGGCTCTTGCGGATCATCTTTTGTTCGAGAGAAAACAACTCCGGCAGATAATTGCACAAATGCGACAGAATCGCCTTGTACAGACTAGGTATGCAGTCCAGCATCGCTGGCCGTACTGTTATCTTCCGTAGACGTATTCTGCACCCTGGAATATCGTACCACGAATGAATTGGCTGTATTATATATCATATGGATATATTAACTCATACAGCATTACTTAGACCGCGTGAGAAAGAGATTCATCAGCACGCTGCTACTTAAGAAAATCGTCAACCGCGGGTTGAAACTAAAAGCAGTTGACGATTTTAAAATGATGTCAGGTGATGAGCAAAAGCAAAGAATTTTAGTTTTGATTGCACTATCATAGTAGAAGTTCTCTTAAACAGTTCTCAAAAACTCTAGTTAAACTTTGCTGTGATGTATTATTGGCAAGAACTAGGATCGATTTTTATTATTTTTTCCAGATTACGAATGGAAACCGGTCCCGATGGGAAGTCACAACGCCATAATTATTACTATATCAACTATAAGTCATTCGTAAATATTGTTCGATATAAGTTAGACCTTTTGCGGCGGAAGATCGAAACTGAGGAGCGCGAATCGACTTCCCGGGCATCGTTCAAATGTCAAGGATGTGACAAATGTTACACGGATCTCGAAGCAGATCAGTTAATCGATTTTGCCACTGGAGAATTTAGGTGTAGTATAGGAACATAAAAAATAGAGTATTTGTTTGCTGTCATGTCTTGTTTTACCAAGACTAGATATTGTGTTACATTAGATTAACGCTGGTACGCTCGGCAATCATACACAATAAATCCTACGCCACATTTCCTTATCCATAGCGCTGTGAATTGTGTAAACGATTATGTTAGTTGTTATATCAACCTCGTCACTTTATAATTCACTGGGTCATATAACGAATACTGCACGAAATACTTAAAATGTCTTTATGTTTTGGCTGAGTCTACTAAAATAAGTATAGAGAAATTGCTGCCATGCGACAACCCTCTATTCAATCTGGAACTGTACATTTTGTTCTAATGGCTTTTACTGAAAGGTTTCTGTTGGTTGTGTAATAAATTAATAATGCTGCATCGAGTGTTAGTAGGGTAGGAGATATTTCTTTCTGATACTCGACATTTGAAATTCATACACATAGATGTCCACACTGTGGATCTTCGGTCGAAGAAGCGGAAAGTGCAGCCTCGTCAGAAATGCCTCAGCAGCTATTGGTTCGTTTCAACGAGCGAATGGAGATCATATTTAAGCTCTTGCGTAATGTTGAAGATATTAAATTAGCGCCAGGTTTACTTGAGCCTGAACCGAAGGAACTTGAAGTACGGGTACCGGGTCAACCCCGCGGCCAGGGAGCAGGAGGAAAATCAGGAGGAGGCAATCCGGGTGATTGGAGTGGAGACGCGACCCGATATGCTGCTGTAAGTGTGACATTCTAGTTAAATTTACTGTTGATATTTAAATGAACAATAAATTGATTGTTAGGCTATATATTAGACAAAGTCATAGCATCTGTTATATCATAAGTTTGTAGTTTCAATTCGAATTTCCTTGAAAAGGAAATGTGCCGATTTTTAAACTACTGTCTTCTTCGCGAAGGCTTCTGTCGCAATTTTTGGTAGCGAACCTAGACATGGTTGCAGTTGACTCAAAAACTTCGAGAATGGTTTACTAACGGTGTTCACGTAATTTGCCTTTCAGGCGACGGTAACCGTTGGGGAAGCGATTTCGACCGCGATGCGCGAGACAAAAGAAATACCGATGTGGCTCCAGAAATCTACGGTTGTGCCAGGCGATGAAGGAGGCGTTGATTTCCTGCAAGGGAAGAGTGCTAATCCATTCCAGCCCTCAAACGTGCATCAAGTCAAAACAATGTCGGCACAGGTAAGATAGACATGCGACAAACTCGTATATTTCGATTGCTCAATTGGAGAAAGCTTACAAGAAGCGTACGTCCTTTTGTTTTAACCTTACATGCCCGCGTTCCATTATCTCAACTGCTATACTCTTTGGTTCATACATATATATAGTAATACCGTGCCGCATATCCTTTTTCTTTTAGGATATTATGGATGCATTACTGGCCCATGAAAAACAGCCAAAAGTGGACGGAGCACCGGGGGGCGGTAACGAATCGGAAGATGAGGATTCCGATGGTTGGGAAGAGGTATTTATTGATTCTTTACTATTATTACCCATTTTGTAGTATGATTTTAATATCTGCTCGTGCAACGAGTAAGTCATCTTGATACTGACAACCCTGCTAGAGGCATATTGCCTGTGGCATGATAGGAGTATTTATATGACCAGTATTCAAATATAGAAGCACAGATTAATAGTTCATTAAACTCAACGTTATAACTCGCACACTTCAAGCGAATTCTTTGTAAAAAAACAAAACCCATAACAGTGGTTTCATATTTGCTAAGTTATTCACTATTTATTTTTTTATAAATGATTGAAGTAGTGATAATCCTATATTGTTTTACTTCTTTGACCAATAGGTTCCCGTTGAGTTACCGATGGTTTGGGTAGATGGCGGCCAAGTGGCACTCCACGATATCACACAGGAGCTTGTCGACAAAATGACGCCCGATGAGCGGAGAAGTTATACTGCTGTTGCCCAGCAGTTCTATGCTGCCTTCTATGAATAGCGACAACGACAAATAGTAATTAATATTAAGAATTGTCATTGTAATAAATAATGTAAATAAATACAAATAATAAGTGCTATTTTTCAATGTAATTTGTTGTGATTATTAACCTGAAAGATTACATTGTCAGATAACTACATTAAAGTGAAGTGTACTCATAAGTTTCTGTAGAAACCACTTATAATTGGCTGATTGTTGGCTTAATAAACTTTACGTCGGCACTAACCCTGATGATACGTTCCATCAGCGACCTTTTGCCTGTGTGTAACGTAAGTTTTTGACCACTAAATTGGCAACCCGGCGTAACCTAAGTGCGATCAAATTTCCCTTTTCATTTGAAATCTTTTTGAAAGGGTGGACCCATTTTTACGCTGCGCAGGCCAAGACGGCTTAATTTCCCGAGTACCTTCGGTTCTACTAACCGAAGATAAACAATTCACAGACTAGACAGAATGCAAATTCGTTCCTAGGGCCGTCCCACTAAGTTAACGGCAAGTTTATTGACTTTACAATCTTATATATAGAGGTACATTATAATACATTTTATCATATGCTGTTAAATAAACGGCTTCAAGTGTAATGTACGTTGCAATCTTGGCTACGGTTCTAATCTTATTGCAGTTCTGCCCTCACTATTTTTAATTCGGTAAATTAACTGAAAGTAGAGACAGTTTAGTTCAAACAAAGAACTGTCAGTTTTTTAAGGCCAATAATTATCGTAGAGTTCTCATTCATCTCGTTTGTTTTCAGCTCAGTTCATCAACTGTGAGTACAGACTTCATTCAAATCAATATTTACATATTCACTAAACTAGGTGTCAGAATCGACAGATATTCTATCGGCGTAAGGTCTTCATTTACTTCGACTCATTTTCCTTGCAAATAATTACTAATTCCTTTAAAGTCAACTCAAATACGCCTTTAGCGTCTTGAAAAGTAGACATTTATGAGACAAGAGGCGTCAGTATTTGCTTGTGACACGATCATCTATTGTTATCTCATTGTTCTCATTGTTAAAGATTCGAAAATAGTACATTTTATACATAATTCAACCAGTATTGCACCTATTAAGTATGTTTTCCTTTGTCCCTTATAGTTTCGTGGTAGGATTTAGTAAACTCTAAGGAAGTCTAAACTACCAAATGGCAGCATATAGCAGCGAGCTGCTGCTAAATTTCATTACGTAGTGTTCCCAACGTCTTTAAGTTTCGGTAAACTCCATCAGAACATCGGATAGATGTTCGTTATGGCGCCTGTATTTTCTAGCTTTCTTCTGAGCTCCCTTTTTCCGTTTAACTGCGGGATCGACCTTCTTTAAGCCATGGTCTTGCATTGATTGTATTCCCTGCCGTTTCAGGTACTCCTCGATCTTTGCGTCATCAACACTGTCTACAGACACCGAATGCCACAGTTTGATTAAATCTTCATCGATAGGAACAAGGACAGATTTATCGTTGAAGAATAAAACAACCTGCAACAGCACAGAGGAAATAGATAGGTCACAGACACAGAAGTCAGCTCTTAGAATTATTTGCACCCAAGAGGGTTGGTCATTTAAAGCCAATTTAACTAGCCTACCTACCGGACCACAAAAGCAAGTAGTTTCCATATAATAAAAACGAATTATAATATATAAGTTGAAAGACAAGTTAAAAGGCATGCGCAAACTGTAAAACAAGAACGAATGTAGGTAAAGAAGTGCCAGTGAACTAAAAAAAGTTCCTAACATTTCCTACACATAGAAGGCAGCCCATTTAATACAAACCTTTTTATCGGTGGGTCTTGTTATATATAAAATATTGTCGCCCAACTTCTTTAATACATCGTCCGCGTTGGCCATCGATTCACGAATGTCTTCGAGGTATATGCCACCCAGCCCCCGCTGCATGTGTCGTTCGAGAAGACGCAACAGAGATTTTCGGTCCTTTACATTGTAAGGAGGCTTAAAGGCATATTTGCCGTCATCGGTTACATCGATTTTAGGATTCGAAATAAGCGCTTCCTGTTGTAGCCATTGCTTGTGACGCACACCAATGTCCATCTAACAATCAAATTAACGTTAATGTATTATTAATGCTAGTAAGGCAAGAAACATTTTTAGTAGACAAAATAACTCCGCTTTTTAGCATTAATTATTTCCTACAATGCAATGAGGTCTGCAGCCTTCGTATGAAGTATATATTATTAGTATCCATGATCAATAAAACAACGTCAACCGAAACTCTGCGCTGATTACAATTTTCAACTCTGATCGTATCATTGAACGAGTTCTTATTCTATGTGATAAGGTCAACACAATGTTAGTTATGCGCAAAAAGAAAGGACAAACCTGAGAAGTTTCATCAAGTATCTCCTCGAGAGTAAGTGGATGGGTGTCTCCCTCAAGGTGGCGAGTTCTCATATATTTGACGATTTTCGCCAACACTGAGAATGAATTCGCCCCACCTCCTGCGATCGTCTTGTATCTGTACCGTACCAGAAACAGTAAAGTGAAACATAATTAGTGAACCGATATAAATGCTATCTTCTCAAAGAACGATTTCATACTATTGTAATCGGTCACTTGGGTGAAAGCAGTGACATCTGTACGAAAATGTCCGCACTATTACTACAGTGGAACAATGTACATGGTCAAGTGTCGATTTCTATTGTGGCAGGGCGTGTAACCAGCAAATAACCTAAAGAAATTGTGACCAAAGACAAAATATTAAGATCATTAAGCGAAATGTCTCAAGATTTGGCCGCAAATGAACATGGTTTTACATCTATTTACCTTCCTTTGTTGTATAAAATAAATTGTATTGCATAATATACTTAGATAAAATACTTTGGTCTAATATAAAACCTGATAATTCTCGAACCCCAAAATAATTTATTTGGGCTTCTTTGCACGAAGTCCAAGTACGGTAGAACGTAAGTGGAGTTACGTACAATCGATCGATTGCTGACTCCTGTTTCCTCATTTAATTACACTTTTCATAACTAAATTTAATTCATTCTGCCCAAACCATTATTATAATTGTAGTATAATTAGACACATGTTAGAGAGTGAAACGGCTGGAAATCGTTAACTCATTAATCGATAAATAATTGAAGAAATTTAGGGTCTTCCTTTGTGTAGAGCAACGCATTGTCTCAAACTTATTGGTAGTTCAATCCTATTTATATAGAGAGGGTGCCGTGCTTCAATCCAGCTAAGCTTCAGTGGAATATTTGTCTTAGTAGACATTCGTTTGTAGCTACTTCAAAAAAAATCCAGTTCTTTTTAAGAGGAAACCAGAATTTCTTCATGGCGATAAATAATGCGTCGTCTTTGGAATGCAAAAATCAACCTTTTTTTGGAGGGCAATACTAAATAACAATTGGGTTGCCCACATGAGCTTCAAAAGTTAATCGTTTTACAACTTCTCGCTCTGTCATGTACCCTTCGAACTTTTCGGCAGTTTTTACCATCTGCATTTTTGCAACATTTGCTCTCTATCAGCCGAAAGTTTAATTCTCCTGAATTTTTTGTACTTAGCGTACTCGAGCAATACGTTGATGAGTTTTTACCTAGTCATCTTACAGCTCACAGAAACACATATTTCGCAAATGACTAGTAAGTACTTTAGATCCCAAATTGAAGCTGCAGATTACGGTGAATAATAGGTGTATTTAAAAGTTATGATCATTAGGGATGAGTTTTAGCACGTATGAAAAGCTTCGTTTAAACATCTGTTTTGTTAAATTCAGTTTAAAAAGCAAAAAAAGTCCGGATTTAAACTCCGCATACACACAGACACGCATATATATACACTACATAAAAACATTTTACAGCACGTACCTGAAGGGATCCTTAGGAGCCGAAGGGGGCTTCAGTACTTTAGAAGGCACCAACGGTTTCTTTTTGTCCCGTGGTGGCGATTCGCGTTTATTGCTCCGGTTCTCCACTACCGGAACCGCCATTGCCCGTTTTTTAAACGCCTCACGTTCTTTAAGTAAAGCGGAATCCATTTTTGCGTCTCGTAACTCTTCAGAATCGCAGGCACCAGTGGCTTCCGAACTTAGACAATGTGTTTACAAACATTCTACTGAATCGAACGCCCAAGTCGATGGAATTTGGATTCCGCGGGTTATTCGCGGTATCATATTTCCGCTATCTCCATGATGAAGAAGTAGATAAATTACCTCATTTTGCGTCATAGTAACATAACTATGACATTATTTCCAGACTAATTTTGTATAAAAATGTGGCATATTTGTCGTTGCTGTCGCCTACGGTGAGCAAAGGCAGTTTTCAGAGATAATTGTCGGAAAATCGAGACGTTCCAACTTGGATCGAAGGAAAGGGTGAACAAGCAACGTCTGGGTGAACGATGCAAAAAGTTTCGTAGACTTATTTAGCCGCCAGGTAGGACTGGAGCACACAAAAAAAACAAGCGATTATTCCCGTGGTAGCTTAGAGGGTAACGTATTTGCAAGCTAATCCTAGGCACACGTTGTGGTGTAGGGTAGAAGCCGGGCGTAGACAGACTACTGGTTCGTTTTATTCTGGGAAGTAGCCAGCATCCTGTCTCATGGAATGCTTAACGGCGATGCTGGCCATAGAATTCGAACCATAAAGAGGCCGATTGTTTGCCGGGTGGCCGATCGGCATGTTGCTAGCAGAATCTTTTGTGATGCAATACAAGCCTAAAGGAAGCCTTAAACGTGTTTTTTATAGTGTGCCCAAATTTAAATTTCTGTACTAAAAAAGTTATATTTATTCGTCGATTTATGTTTTGTTTATGCGTACCGCGCAAGTTAAACGAAGGCTTATAATAACCGAAAACGTGTATTTACAATGAATAGAACAAGGCGAGTTTTTGTTTGGAAAAACCTTCAGTGGGAAAAGTTATGTTAATATTGCTATGCAAAAATAATAGACGAGTAGTAATTGTAATTACTTCTAGAACGTACGTTCTAGACGGTATCACTGCGTTCGATAATTAATCACCGCAGTGCTCGAAGTGGCCTTTTCCACTACTCAGACATCCTGGTAATCATAGGACAAAAACCCACATTCCACGTTTCCATGAATGGACTCACATTCAGTCACAGCGTATAGCTTCGTTTACGGATCCTATCTTACGCGCAAAAGCTTTATCTTGCAAAAGTACTGAAAAAAACAAATCTGTCGAAGTAAGATCTGATAACTATCAAGCATGCTTTACTAAGCCTTATCGGCCTGTTCATCTGTAGATCAACTACCTATTAACATACGTTTCGTTACAGTGGCGTGCCCATATTATTTTTGTACACATGTATAGCATGTCTTATTTCGTCGCTAAATTTAATGACAAAAACCGCATTTATCATATCAATGTTTAGCGATTTAAAGAGATGCGTACATGATGGTATATACATCAAAACATAAATAATAGATAGTGACTTTGCACCATTTACAGACTAATAAAAACCAGCCATTGTAAAACACCAGCCGTTCTTGCTAAATAATAGGAACATTCCAACCATCAACATTTGTCTACCCACTTTGCATATAAATATCTAATACCTTACTTACATCTTCGCTTAACCTGTAAGCGTACCTTTTTCTGCAGCCAAGGTTTCAACTGTAAGCTATTTCTTACAAAAAATATAAGCTTATTTCGTCATTTAGTTTTTAACTTTAGCTGTATTTTTTTATAAGTGTGCTTTTGTCCCATCCGCCGTTCGCAATATTATTGCTTTCCGAACATGGCTTTTACACTCTGTGCTTGAGACCGCTTTAGAGCTTATTTGCTGGTGTGAATCCATTTCATATTACAATTCATGTCTATGCTATACGAATCTATACCCTAGCCAAAGACTCAGACATTGCAAAATTAAAACGAAGACACGTTAGGCCCTAGCTAGTAAATTGAGAGAAAATAATTAATTCTCGTTAAGTAACTGTTAAACAGCTATTGTAAGTAATGGCATTTATCGAGGCATAGTTTACTGAAGAACATCGTCCATACTTTGAAGTTCTGTTCCACTCGAGTTCTATTATCCTATTTATTCTGGTCGCCATTATTACATCATCCAGGGAGAGGGGTCAAAAGTGGACGTACATTGTTCAGAACCGTGAGATTACAGTCGGTGCGAAGAACGACTTATAGATGGGTCAAAATTCCGTATTGTTTTTAACCTATTAACCTACTTGGGGCACGAAGTAAAAAATACTATACTCTAGAAAAAGGAATTAACGGCATCACACATTTAGATTAAATGAGCAGGCACTCAACTGGACTCCGTATAACAGCAAAAAGACGGTCGCAAGAATTGCCTTGCCATTGTCATTGGCAGTTAGAACCGACCATCGAAATAAAGCACTTTCGCGGTACGACCAGGTTTATTTATCGACTTTAGCCAGTGCTACTCTCGTGGTAGCTTGGTCATATCCGGTGCTGATGTTCGAAACTCGATCATACGAAGTGTTTTAGTCTTGCGCGTGAATGCGAAAAATGCGAAGAAAAAAAATGATCGTAATGAGACTCAGGAACGTCATCGTGTAGCCGCATAGGATTCAAATGGACGAAGGACCTAGCAAATGACGCAAGCAGTTTTATGTCGGTGAACTTCGCAACCTCTACCGGGTCTACTACCTGTGCAAGCAAGCGCACATAGACGAAAAGAACTAAGAAATGCAAAATGCAAATGGCGACAAAAGCACTTAAATTAAGACATCAGTAAAATGTTGTCATTCACATGCTGCAGGCTTGTCCTCTATGCAGAGAAAATACTAAGTAATACCAGTCGCAAAGCTGAAATTGCGCAGAGGCTTAAGCTTATGTTGCAGGGGCGTATGCGTACGCTATGAAACGAATAAACCAATAATATACATGCGTCAAACATGACTAAATACAAATTTAATGTATTTTTACGGGGCATATAAGCAAATAATAAAGCAACATTTGAAATTACTACAGGTCGCTTACTTGTGTGAATAAATTACGGTGTGAATAGGCGTGTTTTTCGTATAGAATAAATAACAATAGATTACTACGGCTGCGCCTCGAGCTACTTGGGTCTTGGTTGATGATGCTTTGTCAAGTGTGTTGTGAGTTACCATACGATAGAGTAGACGTTGACTACTAAGTAAACATTCACAAATATAAAGGGTCGCTACAACTAATACTCTGGTTCATGCGTTGACTGTAATGAGAATTGTGTTGAAGGCTTTCATTGTACTCAGACCCATAACTGGGGCCTGCATCGTTGCCCTGGCTGTGCGTAGATCCCTGTTTGCCTCCACCTTAGTAACTCGAGCCCTAACTATCTGTTTAATACTTTGCCATCTTGTCCATTTAATACCTAATAAGAATAATGGTTGTAGTGCGAATTTTGCTTGAATGCGGGACTTTGATTTGAGCTCTGATTGTAGCCAGTGGTGTAACTGAGGCCTTGATTGTAAGTTTGATTATAGGCCGAATCCTGGTGTGCACTGTTGCTGCTGTCGAGAGGCCTTGCTCATAATCGTGGTGGTGTCTTAAGCCATTGCTGTAACCCACGTTGGAGCTTGAGCTTAGCTTGTAGCCAAGGTTGTAGCTAAAGCTTTAATCATATGATTTCTATTTATATCCGGTAGATCTGCCACGAACGCAAAGATGGTATAATTTCTCCGTAGATAATCGTTTCCAGAAGCCAATTTTTGCGGTGGCCACGTAGATTTTATGGTAGCCCAAAATAAGTACCGCGAAGCCTCCATGTTTTATATGAACTCCAGATCTTGGCTCGAATCATATGTCAAAAGGTCTTGCAACAACAATGTCTATCATTCAACCGATAATGAACCTTGAGTACATCTCTTTAAAAAATGGAATTTCGTAAGATGCTTAATTGACACATTTGCTCTGCAGCTATTTGGCACCGTTTCGCCAGTTCTCTTAAAACCCAGCGGTTTCCTTCTAGGCTACGTTAGTATTCCTTTGAAATTAGTTCTTATAATGCACGGATGCAAGGGCTTGCGCCGAATTATTTGAAGATTGTCTAAACATTGGCCTATTGAAATTGCGATAAAAAACGTGTACTATTTTTTATTATTATTGTACAAACTCTGAATTGTGCTATAGCAATACGTTGAGATTTCTAAATTTGGTAGACGGGTTTTCGCTTATCTAGCGTTCATGATTCCCTATTATTCTTATTCTCCTATTTGCAATTTGGCCGGTCAAAGTAACGGTTGAGAACGTAAATTGTTAAAAATTAATAAATTGTAAACATAAAGTCCACTGGCCTGTTTCACCATCATTAAACCATTTTTGGATAAAAAAATACGGGACCAAAATACATGTTTGGTTTTATTTAAGCACAGATCGGTGCCTATAGTCAGTTTCAGCTACTTTTTGTGACTGTAATCGAATAATAGATTTCACTTCGATTCTTTAGTACTGTTATTTCCCCACTGCCTATACAGAAGTTTATAGAAACACATGATATATATGCCCATGCAACGCATCAGTAACTGATTCATCCTTGTTGTCTGGGAACACTTATATGAGGTGTAACCGTATCGGGAACGTATTTTTATGCTGCACTATACAGATCACAGAGAAGCTCGACAATCACGATGTAAATAAAATAAAGCCTTAACCTGGACGACATTACTAGAGAGAACTGTTGAACAACGCTGAAAACACTATTGACCCAATCGGCCTACACTAGGAAAATGGCCGGTATCAATGAAAAGTGATGAGTTTTTAATCATACACAACTAGAATGTCGATGGGAACTATGGTAATCAATATGACCCTCAGAACGTTGTAAATTTAGCCATGAATAGATCTTATTGCAGACTAACATGGCCCTAAATTCAGCTTCGCTGTGTGCTAACAAAGAGCTAATTGATTCTTCAAGCTTTTACAAAAAGTTGCCGCCGACAATATTAATGCGTACGCTATATCCCGTTGTTTTAAACATTAGAATGTTAAATGGATTTCGACTAAATTTCTAATTAGAATTATAGTTCATAATCACCTATTTCCGGCTAAGTTCAGGAGGCCGGTATACCTACAGAGTGCCAGTGAAACAAGATTCAGAGTGACACAAATAGGCTAAGCAACCTAGACACACAGTGCTGTGTCAGCTTCTTTATTAGACAAGCCAGATGCGTAACGATTACGTCTTAAATAAAAAAATATGAAGAAAATATCCGTATCTATAGCTTACAAATGTTCCTTATGTTTCTATCAAGTGATGATAGGATCATAAGCATGTATATGTGCTGCTTACAGGGTGCTTTATATTCTTTTACATTTTCTTTTATAAGCACCTACCTTTCGAAAAAGGAACTCAATAAGACAAAAGGAACAACTAAAAATGCCCACAGAATTGAAGACTTACTAGCGACATATCTGAAGTTTTACTATCTGAGATTATTATCAAGGTTGGCCTATTCCTGATATATTGTACAACATTGCTCGGCATAGCTATGTTCTACACTACGTAACAGCTAACAAACGAAAAAGGCACACGCAAGTTAAGGAACGGTGCTTTATTAGATGTGTTTTAAACTTGCCGGGATAAATAAGTGACGACTGTCGCTCTTCGAACAGTCTCTGATTGCAAACGTCCACTACAG